CAACCCTCAGTGTCGCCCCCGCACTGGACCGGGACCAGCAACGGGATCGCAACCCTCGGCGCTGCCCCCGCTTCTCGCTCAGCCAGTGAGCGGGAACCGGTCTGTATGTGGGATCCGAACCCTCAGCGGGAGCGCCGCCGCGCTTCCCAAGCGGCGCACTAGCGCAGTGCGCCACCGGGCCGGCCCTCAAACATATATTATTCATCATAAAAACAAAACATTTAAGCATCTAGGAACAATTTTAATAATAATCTTGAAGCTATATCTGTATCTATATGACTATAAAACTCAAGAATCCTAAAAGATGATGTGAATGAATCAATATAGATGCTTGTGATATAGAATAACATTAAATGCACCTGATTTCACCTAAACATCAAAATTATTTTCTGTCATACTGGGTTTCCATGTATAAAATTTAAGACTTTCAGTCAGCTTTTTTCTCTCTGTGCTAACTAATGAAATTCAGTGCTTAGCTTTGAGAATGAACTTCAGAAAGAAAAGAGAAAATGCTAACTTTTCCCTTAGCACTATAGAAAAGCAAACAAAATTCTGCCATTAAGTTAGTCACAATAAACTAGTGTATTGAAAATATTAACAGAAATGTCAACTCTACTTTTCCATTCCCTATCCTGCATTTACATTTCTATTTCTTGTTTAATTAAGATGTCTTTTAAAACACCTAAACTGTAGAGTTTGTTGCTGTGTTCTCTGAAATATAGTATATAATCCTAAATCTTTAATTCTTAGTTAATAATTTCTTCCCCTGACAATAATATTTAAATTGATTCTGAATGATACAAATAATTGTGAGGTATCTTAATTAAATAAGAAGAGCTATAAAATTTTATTATTCTTCTTTTATGTATAAAGATATAATAAAATCCATTAGTCTGTTATATTTAATATTCAAATAAAGAATTTCAGCACTTTCTGTCTTATTTAACTTAATGTAAAAATATTAATGCAAAAATATTAATTTTTCTAAAAGTAATAGGTTTAGTGCAATTCTAATGAAAAATCAAAGTGAAATTGTTTTTGAAAATTTTACAAAATGAATTGTTTTGGAAAAAAACTTAGTTAAGCAGATTTTGAAACAGTAAAACAATTAAAGGAATTTGACCCATTTCATATTTAAGAATATAAAACTATAATAGGTCAAAATTAGCAGAATAAAGAAAAAGGATAGCCACAGATAGATCATATGTATAAGAACTAAATATATACAAAAGACATCTGACAAATCAGTCGAGAAGAGGTGGATTATTCAACAAAGAACACTGGTAATATTAGGTAAATATGCAAAGGAAAATTTCAAATTAGATCCACATTTTATAATATCCCTGATTCCAATTGAATAAAGGATTTTGGAGTAAAATAATCTATGAATGAAATTTGTAAGCGTATAAACATTGAAGAAAATATACAAACAAAAAGATAACTTGCTTGATTCCCAAAGTAACTATTTCTGTAGGTCTAAAGATTTCATATAAACTTTTCTTTTCAGATTATCTAATCACATCAAAATGCTCACTAAACAGGATACAGATATTTATATTATAATCCCAATATTACAAAAAATATACATACTTGGAATTATAGGTAGTTTTCTATCTTCAATAAACTTTTTATATTCAAATATCTATCTCTATATATTTTTTTATAATGGTGATCTTAAAGTAAAAAAAAAACAAATGAGATAAGTATACAAAACTACCAAGAAAAGCAATATTTCTCCTGAAAAGCCTAGTCCTTAAAGGCTCAAAAGTGCAACGCTTAACACTTACTGTATCAGGGCTGGCTGATTAGCTCAGTTGGTCAAAGTGTGGTGTTGTAACACCAAGGTCAAGGGTTTGGATCCCAGTACTGGCCAGTCACCAAAAATAAATAAATAAACAGATACTTACTGTATCACTATTATCACTCTGGGTTTCTGATTTTGAATCACTCTCAACCTCATCTTTTTCCAAGGAGGAAATGCTGATTTTATCCAATTCAGCTTCTATTTCTTCTTTGAGCTTTACATCCTCATCATCATTATTGTCTTCCATCATTCTTCATAATAAAACACAGAACCATGTAAAGAAAACTGAAGAGGCTAACATGTCACTAAAAACTATGGTATTTTTTTAACTTGTCATACCAATCCAACATGTTCTATATAAAAGTTTTCAATTTAAGAAACTTTTACCATACCCTATTATAGTGGTACCATACAATAAATATCATTGTTCCATTTCTCTATTAATTCATTCTTTTTAAAAATATCTGACTACAAAATGATCGACTCTTTTTTTTTGTCCTTTTTTATTTTTTTTATTTTGTCAATATACAATGTAGTTATTG